ATTTGGAGCTGGAAAGAATTTTACCCTCCGTCACCACCCGATTCCGAGTTCTTCCAACAACGGAACAACATTGACAACGACAAGGCCATGAACTACAGTTACCAAAATCAACCCAAACACCACCACATCAACGACGACAAGGTCTCGAATTTTAGCTACCAAAATCAACCTAAACACCACCACATCGACAACGACAAGGCCTCGAATTTCAACTACCAAAATCAACACAAACACCACATGGACGATGACAAGGTATCGAACTATAGCTACCGAACTCAATACAAACAACACCACATTGACGTAGATAATGAAGTTAAAAAGACGGATAGAGAAGAGGTTCAGTGCAGCGAATGGGACGACCACTACAGCACGACTAGCTCCTGCGACGAAGAGGAGGACAAGGAGTCCAGATCCGAGATAGGGACATGGTCGAATTTCGAATCCTCCGTGCACAACGAATCGAAGGCGGTGTCGCCACCGGCGTCAAAATATTCGACGATGAGCAAATCGGATAAATTTGACGAAGCCGGATCTTCGGTGAGCTGGAATGCCAGTAACGGCGGCATATTGGACATGAAGATTGTACAATGGCCAGCACTAAACGCGGTCATTTTGTTCTAAAGGATAATATTGTAATTTTAAAAAATGATTTTTTGGTTTTTTAAATAAAAGGGAATATAATAAGAGTAATTTAGTCATTTCATATACCCTTAACGCCCCAATTGACAGAGTTGGGGTAAAAAGATAACGTTATTATATTGTTGGGGATTTTTAAAACTGGTTGGGGTTTTATGGTCACTTTTTGAAAATATTGGGGGTTTACAGAAATTTGCCCTTTATTTATTAAAGTAGTGATTTTTAGACGAGAGTTAATTGGTTGTTGCTTAAGTCAAAATAGACACGATGAAAATGTATGGTGATCTTTTTTCTATATTGTAGAGATTGGAGAGAGAAAGAGAGCTGAGAGATGATTTAGAGAGAGAAAAGAAAACAGAGATTTTCTTTCCTTACATCAGCAAGGGCATTTTAGGATTTTTATAAAAAAATTGGTCAAAATTGATGATTATGGAGTAATTTGCTCAAAAGGTTAATAATACAGGGATTTATATGCACTTAATTTTTAGTAGGGTGTTTCTTGCACATTTTTTATATAACGAGGGGGTTTTATGCACTTAACCCTTATAAAAATTAAATAGAGAGATAGAAAGTCAAGTAACTCTTGAAATAAATGCAAGACTTTTTTGATATATAAAAAAAATGTAAATATATTAAGAAATTCACAAAATGGCTTATATTTTTAGAATAAAATTAAGATAAGATATATATTAAGAAGAAATTTAATAAAGGTAATTTAGCTTACAAATGCATTAATTCTTGATTTTAATAAATAAAAAATAATTTAAAATCAATAAAAATGTATAGAAATAATCAAAGGTGTACCAAACAAACAATGAAAAAGACTTGTGATTTAGGGAAAAAAAAATTAATAAAGGTAATTTAGCTTTTAAAGGTATTACTTTTTTTGTTTTAATTCATATAAAATAATTTATAATTAATGAAAATGTATCCAAATAACTATAGAAAAAAAATGCTTACACTTCTATATAAGTAGTATTAATGCTGGATGGGGCAACTCAAATGACGTAACTGTTGAATGATTAAAAGATTTAATGTAAAGTATTTAATTAAAATTATTTTGTATTTTTTATAAAATCTAAAAGTGTTAAGAAATTTCTTACACTTTTAGAATAGTATAGATATAGCTATAGATATTGAAAAAGTATGAAATCCTAGGGGTATCGGCCTCTTATTTTTCAAAGGGAGGTCAATGGTTTAAGTTTTAGAAGAGACATGTGTGTGTGAGTACCAACTAGAAAAAAAAAAATTAAAAAATATATATGGCAGATTTTACTCTAGATTTTGTACAAATCAAATTATTAAATTTGAGTACATGAAACTTGCTTCGAAAAAAAGAAAGAAGGTGATATGATTATGAAAAACTAAAACTATGAAGAAATAAGCTATAGAAAACCGAAGGAAATGAAAATAAAGTATTTTATAGAAATGAAAATAAAGTATTTTATAGAAACAAACAAGAGTAGTAATAACGCGTATTTAAGTTAAAATTTTGAATAAGCAAGTATCTGTCGGTTTTAAGTCGGGCTATTAAAGTCGCCAATAATATCATTTTTTTTAAATACTTCTTTTTTCATACTTGATAATTTTTTTTCATACTCTATGTATATTTCTAATTTTAATTTTTTTTATGGGTACCTTATAAAAATACTGAGTTACAAGCGCATAATAATGTATTAAAACATAAAGTACATGTATAGTTTTTGTTATATTACACTGTATATTAGCTTAAGATTTGCTAGGGTTTATCTCTCTCTCTCTCACACACACACACACACACACACACACAGAGGTACATTGTATACATTTGTTGTTCGCTCAATTAAATAGAATATTCATTGTAAGGTTCACAAAAACCCCCATATTTCCTCTTTATTTTTCGTTCTTTAAGTTCTTGATAGTGTTCCAATAGCCCATCAAGTCCAACACATTATGTTCAACGCCCGAAATAAAACTTCCAAAAGTCCTTTTGTTCTTCTAATTATATCAGGCAAAATTCCAGACTTGGACTTTCCCGACGCCGCTAAAACCAGCTAAAAAGGAGGCTTCAAGCGTTCCCATGCGCCATCACAAGTCTATGCAATTCTTGCTTATCCGACGCGCACCTCAACGCGTTGAACAAAATCCATTCACATACCCTACGCGCGATGCCAATCTGTTCACAAATCCGCTCTGCCACGTCAGCAACCAGTCAACATCCATGCCAGCCTTTATGTCGGCATATGGCCACAACATCTGCCATGCCAGCTGACACGTCAGGCACATACTGCCCCTTCTTAACCCATCATCAACCACGTCAGCAATTTTGCCACATCAGCATTTATTTGTAGCTCAGCTCAGGGATCCTTTGCCATGGTAGTCATACTACTATGTCGTCAGCAGCAGTAGAAATTTATTTCAAAACACACCATTCTAGCCCAGATTTTTTGGTTAATTCTATATTTTTGGTTTGTTTTTGCATTTGAAATTTCTAAATGGCACGGAACGAGGTTAATCATCCTATTTCAGTTGTTGCTAATGGTAAAAATTACTCATTTTTGAGTCAATCCATGCGTAACTTTCTTATGGTCACAAACTATGATCTTATGTTATTGGGGATCATCAAGCATCCGTTCAGACCGAGGAAGAATCATCATATGCCTATACAACACATGTTGAAGACTAGGATAATAACAACCACAAGATTATTAAATGGTTGTGCAACACAATAAATCCCTCCATGGAATTTGAGAGTTATGACACAGCTAAGGAAGTATGGGACAAGCTTACTTTTTGGTACTCTGGCTCTTGTGGTGCTCAACAACATCAGTTGATGGTTCAACTTTATAATCTCAAATAGGAATCAGGTCAGCGCATTAATGAGTTTTTCTCCCGTATGAAATGCCTATGGGGTCAGTTAGCTCTCTCAGAACCATCATGGGAGCATCCCTCTAAAGCAAATAAATTTCTCAAGTATGGTAAACAACTTTGTCTTCACCAGTTTTTGACGAGTCTTCGTGGTGATTTTTAGTTTGTGCGCAGTCAGCTTTTTCATTGCTCACCTTTCCCTTCATTTGATCAAGCTCTCAATGAGCTTGTTAGAGAAAAGACACACTAGTAGACTATTCGTTCCCAACCCAATCTCACTGTATTGGCCACATTATCTTCTGTTCCTCATTCATTGTCATCTCAGTCTGCACATGATCGCTCCTCATTATCTTTCCCATGCAATGGACGCAACAACCAATCTGGCTCTCGGTGATCAAACTCCAAAACTGATAGCTCTTCTCTTTATTGTACCTTCTGCAAGATCTAGGGCATATCATTAATCAGTGTCGCACTCATGATCAACTCTCACATTATACTACAGTTGTGGCTTACTCTGAGATTATGTCAACAACGACCAACTTTAGTACCAGTTAGCAAGGCTTCTGGTGAATCTTCATATGCCCCATCTACATTTTTTGCAACTGATCTTGTGACACTTCTCAACTTTATTAAAATGTTCATCGAAACATTATATGAGTCTAGTTACCATCTAAAAGTAAATTTATATTGATAGACTCTATAAGCCTGACTAAGAAAAATATAATATAAACTCATTTAACCACTCCTATATTTTTTTGTTTTTTTTATTTTTCTTGACAAATTAGAAAAAAAGTACTCGAATGCAGACACACTTATTTGGGATCTGGGCGCTCCACTAACTAAATTAGTGGGTAATGCTCAACTAGTCTTATATCACAAGATGTTAAATCTATCACTCAGATAGGTTTAGTGAATTGTGGGATTGGTGAAATTTCAACATCTACTCTACAAACCTTTGATGAATGTTCAAATATTTAAATATGAGAAATTTTGATTGAAGTCAAGTCTAAGCTTAAGTTGGACAGTGGCTGAGTCCAAATTATCTGTTCAATTAATATTCATTAAAAACTAAATACAAGTTTTGTATTAAATAAAAGATTGAAATGAATAATGATTATTTTATATTTGCCTAGTAAAGAAAAAAAATATAAAATCGGATTGAAATTCATATTAAACTTGGGTCATTCATTCAATTCAAGTTGGGTTCGAGGTGTCCCAACTTACAACTCATCAATCTAAATTAATTTATTCTGAAATTATATAATTTGTTGTGATTGACGGGATCATGTATAATTTCTTTCCGAACTTATAAAAACAATTGGGCTAGAGTCGGGCTTTGGTCCGTCCAAATTGCATCCCTTTGGACCTGAAGTTGCACTACGTTGGGCCTAAATAGCCTCTTTCAAACATACATGGATGTGGGCTAGGATCTTCCAAACTCGACCCGTTTTCTAGGAAATGGTGGGAAGCGTTTCGCGCCATTTTATCTCTCTCTAAAAGAGTGAACACCTATCACGGGCATTTGCTTCGCACTCCCTCAGATTCAGAGTGCTGAAAAATGGAAGTCGTCCGATCTCAGAGGAAGTCTCTCTCGGCCGCCGAGGACGTCGTTCCGACCCTCCCTCTTTACCGTTCCGCACCGGAACTTGAGGTCAGGCTCGAAGATTTTGAGCTTTTCGCAATCGATCGCCTACGAGGTCATTCTATCTCCTACTATCTTCATATGGGTTCAGAAATCTAATTTCTTTTCATACTGTTCTTGATAGCAGAGAGATAATTGTGCAACAAAAGTAGAACATTTAGGATATTTCTTGTTTATGGATTGTAGGGTTTAATTTATGAATTGCTTGATGGGGTTCATTTGAAATTTAGGGTTTTAATCTTGAATTTGTTTAATTTATTGCAATTTGGACTTTTAAGGCTTTTAGTTTTGAGATTTAGTGTTTTGTCTTAGTTTGGACACTTGCGTTGTGTATATTAAAGCTGGTATATTTCACTGATGGTTAAAACTGTTCAATGCAGTTCTTAAAGGGATTTCTGATGGATTATCCAGAGGAAAGAATACCAATGAAATGGAGAAATTGGTAAACCGTAGTCTTAGCTTTGATTGTTTATGTTTAATCTGGAGCTGTTTCTCAGTTTGACTTATTGGGTTTGAATAGGTAAAAGAACTATGGAAGGCGAATATGAGGCATCCACAAGCATCTGAGGTCATTAACAAGGATATAATCTCACACTTTGTCCTCCGTCTTGTGTATTGTAGAACGTAAGTTTCTATTCTTCTTACTGTTTTTATTTATTTATTTATTAATTCTTTCTTTATATTCTTACTAATTTTTGATTTATTTTCCCTGGTGCATCAGGGAGGAACTGCGAAAATGGTTTCTTTCCATGGAGACTACCCTCTTTCGTTACCGTTTTCGGCTTGAAACTTCTGAAGTTCAGGTATGGTTTTGTCATTCTACATCACATTTAGCTTGTTATTACGAGTCTGATTGTGATTGCTTGCGGTTGTGCTTTTGTGTTTACAGAGAGCGCTAATGACAGAATTTGTTCATTATAAAGCACTTAGCACTACAGAGTTCGAGGTATTTGTGTTCTATCTGTTGAACTTTTTTGCTCTCTTTTAAATATACTGCATAACTTTCCTAGAAACTCCTGCTAACTTCATTTCTTAAAGCTATTTTTTCCTTTTATCTTTTGCAGAGTGTAAAGGAAAAATTAATCCAAGTTGCACGGTCGATGGGCACCAGTGGTGATTGCAGATTATTTTCTAATTTTGCATCCTATTTTTCATCTCTATAGCATTTATCTTTCCTTGTCTGCTCGTAATCATGATACTGTTCTTTACTGTTTTTTCGAGTCATTTTTATAAGAAGCATTTGGATATCAGGAGGTCATGTTACATTCACCCATTGGCTATATTGCTAATTCCATTTTTTGATTCTAAAAACTTGCTACTAACATACGTCTTTTGATGGGTCTCAAATATGTCTCTCACAAAATTTATATACTAAATCCGGCTATGTTAGGAGGAAAATTTTAATTTTTTCGGTAAAAAATATGGTGGAAGTTTGATTTATATTGCAGTTACGTACAAATCACCTAGTTACCTTTGATCCATACTTATGCACCTTGCTCTCCCTTGAACACTATTGCTATCATTAGAAAAACTTGTCCTCCAACAAGCTTGCTCTCCCTTGATTGTTTATTAGTTCTTATTTTCTTCAAAATCACCCAGTTGATTTATAATTTAAATCCATCCATTACACTCCATGCATTATTTCACTTAAATCACATCAGAAAGATGGTAAGATATATGAAACCCTAGATTGAATATCACAACTAGATGTCTATTCTCTCTAGTTCTCTCTCGTTTCCCTAGAATGACTATCAATATGTATGTATAGTGTTGCTCAGATAATGACTCGAGAAAGGGTTGGGGGGGGGGGGGGGGGGGGTTTGAATTTAATCATTAGGCAGACTCAGAAACTTTTCGAGACTTGGGGCTAATGCTTAGCAACACAAAACAGAGTTTGTCTATGGTTGTTTGTGTGGTTGCTAACTGTGGATTTGGGAGTTCACTCTTGTGCACAGAACAGAGTATAACAGTGAAATTTTTAAGTGGGCTAACAAGAGAGACAATTGGGTGTTGATATTAATTGCAACAAAACACACAAACTAAGTTTGTAAATCTCAACAAATTAGGAGTTCAAAGTATAGAGAAATAGCAAACAAAGGACACAACGATATACAAGGTTCGAAGCCCACCTACACCTTGCCTTTAGGAGAGCCTCCTGAGGATTCCCAAATCTAACTATCTCACTTCTCTTTACCATGTAGAGAAGAAATCGTTACAATGCCCCTTTTACCAGGCTCAAAGGAAACCTTTACAATCTCTTTTACCAGTCTCAGAGATAACCTTTGTCTGCTTTTTTTCACAAGCTCAAGTGCAACCTTGCTGAGTGCAATGAAAGCTCACTACAGATTTTCTCTCAAAAAAAAGAAAAAGAAAAAAAAAAAGCACTCATTCTGTAGAGTAATGAATGAAGCACAAGATTAAACTCAACTTCTAGAGAATGATTCCTCTAATCTGTTTAAAGCTTTTGAAAGATTTCAAATGAATGTTAAAAAAACTTTTAAAAAAAAAAAAAAAAATGATTCTTGCTCAATGTACAGTGATAAAAAAGTAGTATGAGGGGAAACCTTCTTTTATAGTCTCAATGAAAACTGTAGCCATTATAGAGCTTTGAGACCGTTTGGAAATAGGTGTAAATTGAACATATTTTTCATTTCAGTTTTAAGCTTGTTCCAATACAAGCAGCCGTGGTTCTATAAGAGTAGATGTCTGGCTGGTCTAACCTGAGAACAAATCATGTCCCAGCTGTTAGCCAACTCAGCAAGGGAAGACGCCTCCATTTTCACATTTCACAGGGAATTTTAATTAAAGCATTCTGGCGCAAAAGTGAAAATACCAAGTGACCCCAAATGACTACCTAGCCCTTGCTTTTTGAATTCAAACTTTAAGTGTGAAAGCTGAGTCATTTTCTTTAAGGACCAAGACAATAGTTTGTCTTTTAGCCTAGGTCCGGTTTTTATATCCTATGGTTGGGCTTAGAATCAGCATGCGACAAAGCCAATATTTACAAGGATTTTAACACTCACCAACCCCTTAGCCCTATGGTCTTGAACTTGATATTCAATTTATAATTCCTTCGCCATGTGTTTGATCCAATTTGTAGACTTGAACATATTGTGCATGGATCTACTCGGTACTTGAGTTTAAATAATATTCTCAAATTCATTACACTCAAGTTGACTTTTAATTTAATACACACATTAATAGTTCGTTATCATCAAAATCTCCCAGTTTCTCTTGGCTTGAAACATTGGGGCTAACATGTGGCCTATATAGGAGTAGTCTTAAAAGAATAGGAAACCTTTTAAAATTTATTTTATAAAATTTGTAAAAATAAAAACTTGTTTTCCAACTATTGGTCGATCCATGTTTGAGTTTGATCGATTTTAATAGGTTTGATTGATCAAAGTTGGACTACTGAACAAAGATTGATAACTTGATACATTGAAGATTTTTGCATCCAAGTAATTAAACCTTAGGTGTAATTGTAGGCAGTTGAGAAGTTGATGATTTGTATGCATTGCCTTGGAGAAATGGAAATCATGGTGACTTGTTGGGCATGTTACTTGTTTTAGGCATATATGTCCTCAAAAGCAATATCTATTTATTTTATTGGTTTTTAATTATGAATTTTATGATTGCATTGCCTGCATACATGTGTAAAGTATATGGGTGTTAAATTAATTATGCCATAAGGTTAAGATGAGGAAAAACTTTGTTATGATTGAAGAACCATAAAGATAAGACACTTTTTTTTTTGAATTCTTATTTTGTTCTTAGTCACGCTCATGACTCACGAGTGAAGAGATGGACACTTCACTTGGAAATTAACATACATTACGTTGATACATTTATGTAATGGCGTGTCTTAACCATTGGAATGGTAGATTCCTAAAAGGATTTGTAGATACATATAATGAGGTATGTATATTGAATATGATCACTCTAAGAAAAATAAAGAGATACTTGTAAATTGGTCCTTAGCCTTGCGAAGATTATATGACCTTTACGATGTCATGTTGAAATTTGTTATTGCCAACTGGTGTTGCTTAATTGGGAGCTATATATGCTTATGATGGGGTCATATGATTGTCATACAAGGTACATATAGATCTTCAGCATGGAATCTACACTTAATCTAATGAAAATAGAAGTTATTCCAACAATTCTTAAATTGATTGGGCTTATTAAATTCGGCCGGTATGATTTGTGATGTGTTCATCAATCGTAGTTCATAATTCATATATCAGTTGAATATATAAACTATCGAAATGTTTATTGAAACATTATATGAATCTAATTACCATCTAAAATTAAATTTATATCTATGAGGGTGATAGTGAAATAAATTTATTAACTTGTGGCTTATATTGGAATAAAGATAAGTACCTCTATTAGCAAAAAAGTGCCAGAAAGGGAGTTATTTGTAAATAAACTATTTTCTAGTGTTTCTTTTGTAAATTTGTTGGTGGATATATTTGCAATTATGGAATTTGATTCCTTATTTATTAGGAGTTAAATATGGAATAACAATCTGATGAAGACTAGGGTTCTTAGTTTGTTTATAGTTGGAACTAGTGGGGGCCATAGCTAGAAAGTTGGTTTTTCTATAAGATCTCACTTATAGACTTTCTTTAACACAATTTTCTTGTAATATAAGTAGAAAACATTTTGTCTGGAATGAACGAGAAAGAGGAGGGTGGCCATCTCTTCGTTTGTATTTCTGTCGAGAGATAACATGAAGGAGAGCCACGTGAATCAAGTAGGAAGTAAAACGCTTGGGCTGCTAAGTGAGATTAGGAGGCACAAGCACGCTTAAAAGGTCAATAAAATCCGTTGTTGAATACCAGCACGCCTCAGATGCCTGTCGTTACACGGACTCATGTTGGACATGACCCAACAGGCATGTCTGAATTATTTAGTTTTCAAACATGATGTAGACATGGCACAGACAGGCCATGGACGTGTCCGACACCGTGTCGCATTGTTAGAAAGTTCTAAAAAGAAAATTGGGTTCAAGTGTAAATATGATGACTTCTATGAACATTGTAAAGGTTATATAACATAAATATCTCAAATTTTTTGGTTTAAAAAACAATTATTATTGCTGTGGAGTATATTCAATTGTGTAGTTCTTTAAATGATAAACTAATTATTTTTATAGCTCATTAATTATTATGATTTGAGAATTTTTCATTGTCAGGTTGATAAAAACTAATATTACTCAAAATATAGGATTATATATATAAAAGATATATTTATTAGTGGCCGTGTCCGTATCTTAATTTCTTAACATTTGTTATGTCGCCATGTCCAATTCTTATCGTATACGTGTCCTGTATTCCTGCTTCTTAAAAGTGAGATATGAAAAGAAATTCATAGAGTGGTGTTGTGAATTAAACGATCAACGAATCATTTAAAGTATGTTACTATGATTCGATTAAAATCATGTGACTAAGATTCATATAATTAGAAAAATTACCTTAAACTTTTTTTCAACTTATATAATAGTTTTACCCCAAAGGATAAGTTCTGCTTGCTTTATGCTATTCAGACGATAGAAAGAGGATTGTTACCTTTCTTAAAATTAGAAGGATGTGTCAAGCTCTTGGAGTTTTCAGCTTAGCAAAAACTTGAAGGGTTCTGACATATTTTCATTTAGGTTTAACCTTTTACTGAATTTCTAAGTCTTTAACGCATTAATGATGCCTCGCAAAAGAAGTTTGAATTGATAATAGCATTCATACGGTTATACATACTGGGCTTCTGTCTCCCTCTCCACCTTGTGTGTGTTGGTGAGTGGGTTGTGGTGGGTACCTATGGCTAATATTTTCTGTTCTTGGTGCCCTTTGCAACATCTTCTTCATTGAAATAATATTCTTAAAATTGGCACATGGAAAATGCAATTATAAGTTTGACAAAGAAGCTTATCTTGTGGGATATGATGCCGTTTGATTTTCTAGAATGAAATTTTATATAGATTCTGATTTTTTTTTTAGCCTATGCTTTCACTCTATATGATTTAGTAATGATGAATACTTATCACTTTGAAGATATATTAATATTCTAACTTGCTTTCCTTTTTTCTTTTTTCCTTTTATCATTTTCACTTTCTTTTGCAGCTGACACAATATTCTACAAGGTTTGTGTAGCTTATTATTATTTTTCCCCCAGCAGTATAACAAATACATTTTAACTTCTTGGTGATGAAAATAGGGACCTTATGATAAGAGTATGTAAATAAGCCTGCCTGCTGCCATGTATTTGGCATGCATTAATGTGGTTACAGAAAACTCCGTTGGTGTCACCAGGAGGGATTCTTGAGGCCTAAGTTAATGCATTCATATGGTTCTAGCCTTTGCTTATGTTGCTTCTGGGTTGGGTGAGAAAGAAGTTATTGCATGCTTACCATCACATGATTGGGTGGATGTTGATGTATAGCATTCTATGGTTGGTTTCAGTCCCATTAAACATGAGGAATGGGCAAGGCAGGGATAGAGTAGCTTCTCTGCGTTCCATTCCTGGAATTAAAAGGGATATCTATATATATATATATATATCTTTTAGACATATTGACCATTTTGATTTGGCTTATCAACATGTTTTGTCCTCTTCCATAAATGAAGGTACCATTTGAAGAAGTCCCAGAACTTGTGGCTACTCGCAGAGTATTTATTCAGAAAGGTCATGCATATGTTGCCATGAATCAGGTAAATATTAATGCTTAGTGTTTAATTCTTGCACTTAACCCATACAGAACTAGACTTGTCAGTCTGATTGATGTTCATATGCTTTGTTCTAGGTGGTTTCCCTTGTTGTCACGCAATTTCGCAGCCATCTTTCAAAGGCCCTTGTGCTGGCAAACAGGTTATCATTAAGTGCTGCGGAGTTCGTTAATAATTATATTTATTTATCATGGAAAATATCTGCTTTGTTCTCTGTTTAAAAATGAATGGAATAGCAATGGTTTAGGGAATTTGGAGCCACTTGGGTTTAGAACCATGGTTTTCTTTTTTCCGGGTTAAAAAGGCCATATTCTTGCGTATTTTGGTAGAGTAGCATTTATGCTGAAAGAAAGTTCATTACTTCAAGATGTACGTTCTAAACTTGTTTGTTTACGTATTTGTTATTTTTTATTCTATTTTTGGATTTTTTATTTATGTTTGTCATTTCATTCATCGCGGACTTTGAAGTTTGAACTTGAAATGATTAAAAGAGCAATTAATTTCTAAAATTGTCTAAAAATTTGTACCATCTAGAATTGTCATGGGAAAATAATCGCATACTGCTAGTTGTGATAATCATCGGCATCGTCATTGTTCTTAGTTTGCTGTCATTGCTGTCCCGAGTACAAAGCTAAAATCCTGTTCAACAACTCTGAGACTCTAGCACATTGATATTTGTTGTGCACCCGTGTATGGACTCTTTTTTTTTTTTTTTTTTTAATTATTTTAACTGGTATGTTGAATTTTATTTCTAGTACTCTTCTTTAAATTGGTGTTAAGTCCTGAACTTTTAGCCTTTTCAGGTTGGTTACTTTTTTCTGTTCTATGAACTTTTATGATGTATATTTTGTGATGCCAAAATGGCCTTCATTAGTTCTAGTTTTTCTGCTAGACAGGTTTTATTTTTCTGATTAGATTATTTTTTTTTCTCTTATGGTTAATCAGCTTTATATCTTAAAAATGTGGGAAAGACTATATATGCACACACTTTAAGATTCTGGTTGTCATTTTGATTTCAGAAAGTGGACATCCACCATCAGAGAACAAGAGAAGGATCGGTTGGCTCCTGTGAGTATTGGTTTGTGAACTTTGCAAGTTCAAATTGAGCTCTGTATTTTCTGAATATGATGATCAAATTTTCTTTGATATGTTCAGATTGTGGAAGCTCTATCTACAAGCTATCTGGGTCCTGACTATTCCCAGGTACTATGCTATAGATGTCCGGTTCATCTATTACCCTCAGGTCATAGAGGTTGAAGTTGATATTGATGAATTTGGTATACTGCTTTTGCAGCCGAAAGAATATGCAGAAATATCACTAAGAGACATTGATCAAGTAGCTAGGAGTTCATTTCCTCTGTGTATGCGCCACCTTTTTGAAAAGGTAAGAAGTTTATTTTGGAATCAGGGTAATTACTGTTTATCTTGCTAGTTAATTCATCAAAATTATGTGTTGTCTTTTTTTCCTTTTTGTCGTTCTCAAATTATCAGGCCCAACCTATGCTGGGTACAATTTTTGTTTTGTGTTTTCATTTCCATTTATGGTCCATGGCACCTTTGTGCAGCTAAGAGAGGATCATCATTTAAAGCATGGAGGGAGAATGCAATTGGGCCTGTTTCTCAAGGTTAATCTTTGTACTTTGATTTGCATGTTTGTCTCTTTATGTGAATGAATAGATAATTATTTCAGAAAGGAAAAGGTTTTGGGCCATAGTTTAGGGGAACTAGATTTACAAAGCGAACCAATACTTACACATTCACACACACACACACACACACACACACACATGCATGAAGCAGAAGTTTTTGTTTCCTGTGTTCAGCATATTGGGTTGTATCTATTGGACACCGTTCCAAGGATTGACACCGTTCTTGCAGTTCATTATATTTTGGGTTTGAGCATAAAAAAATATATCTAAAATTCATATGAACATTTCTACAATGATTCAGTTCTACTTGAAGTCAAATTGTACTGCATACATTTTATTCAGTTCTACTTGAAGTGAAATTGTGCTGCATACATTTTATTGGCATGAATGATACCTTGGTCAAATGTTCAAAAGAGTAGAACTTGGACTTGCCAGTACCCATATACCTAAATTGACTTGACATGATATTTGAACATGCCTCGGACACGGTTGGTTATATATATATATATATATTTAAAAAGGAAGAGGTAGAAGTGTATAAAACTATATACCTTTTCATGAAAGATTATCTTTACGGTTGGAATAGCTTGTTGTAGTAGTTTGTTTTCAATTTATTGAAATGTAATTCTATATTTCGCGATTTTGCATTAGACCTCTCTTTATCTTTTATAACTAAATTTGAATTCTACACCTTAAATTGCTATACTTTTTTAGGACGTGGTGTGATAGCCCAGTGGTAGGGCATGTGTTGCTTGTGTTCAAAGGTCCAGGTTCGAATCCCCACTCCATCAGTCAGTATAGTAAATAATTATTTACTTATAATAAAAAAAAATTGCTATAGTTATAGAAAAGACCCAAAAGTAATATACTTTTCACAATTTCCCACATCCATCTTTTTGCCAGTTTGATGCTTTAGCCATATATTACCGTATCCCTCGGTTTGGAGGTCTGGAGGATCTAATGCTTAAACATGTCTGTTGTGTATTAAGAAAAGTAAGTCTTATATCCAGACATCAATATCGGAACTTTTTGGCATGGTTGCAAAACCAAATGAATTTAAGAACTTTGTTAGAACATAATTTGCAAACTTTGTGTAACTTATTTATTAAGTTGTGTGAAAAATGTTGAAAAGGGGATAAACCACATGTCCATGAGGTTATGATTGAAGAGCTGGTGCTAAAAGTTTGGAAACCGTATTCCTCCAATCTACCAACAAATGAACCATACCATTTGGTCCCAAATCAGCCAAAATATTGTATTAAAATACATTATGAAGGGATATTACCATGAATCTTTTGATTCTATATTTGGTCGGAGACTTTTGATTGTAAATGAGTCTAAATAAGGTACTTTAATGAACATTAGTTGTGCTGTCAAGCAAACTTCTTTGTATGTTACCTTCAATTTAGATTAAGCTTGTTTTTTTAGTTCTGACGTGTCATCGACAGTTAAAAATGTCCAGAAAACATGAATTTTCACATCATCTGCCATTGAAAAATTTAGAGTAATGTTTTCGGTTGTTGTGTATCATGTATGTGTATGGGAGACATGCAATAAAATTATGAAATGTGAAGAAGGGTTCCTATGATGATTTTGGAATACTTTAAATATTTAGAATCAGTGATTGCTGGTAATATTTTCTTTATTTTAGTGTATTTTCTCCTCTTTTTTAGGGTGTTGGGTTGAAGTTAGATGATGCCCTTGCGTTTTGGAAAGCTGAGTTCTCCCGGAAGGTAAGTGTGGTACTTTTGAATGTTTTCTTCTGCTAGTGGCAATTTTGTAAAGTTCTCTTTGTTTCTAGTAGAAGTATTAGATGTACACATTTAATCATACTCATGTTTTCATGCAATGCATTATAAAAAACTAGCATACTGATTGGGTCATTTTGTGGATAATTTGACCAGCGAGTGTTTGGTAAAAGAATGAATGATTATGCCTCAGAGAATCTCTCTCTCTCTCCGTGGATAAAAGTTTTTGTTTATTATCTGTTATAACATTCACACGCTTTCTCATCTGAAGCTTTGTGCTTGTTCTTCTTGTTGTAGGTTGGCGTTGAGAGATTTGACAAGGAATATGCCTATAGCATACGCCATAATTATGGAAAAGAAGGGAAGAGAACGGTAAGACATCACCTAACAACAATGGCCAAATTATTGATCTACTAGTTCAAGGTTGTCAGAATCAGGACAGAAGATTGGATGTGTAGATTGCCTTCAGAATCGGATAATATAATCAGGTTGGAAATATGAGAGTTTATTAAATGGTAAAAATCAGATCTTTTCACATTTCAAAAGTATAGAATGAATAAGTCTACAATATAGAAAGTCGACAAAAGAAAATATTCTCATAGAATCTTTCAGTTTTGGGATGTAGCTTTAGCCTGAAGATGGATAAATCTTGCACAAGCTGTAGTTCGTCCTCTTAAGTTATCTATATGAAGAGCATGCCCTGTATCCTTTCAATTATGACTCTACAACAAAACAAATGAACACCCTAATATTTGAGTGGTTTGCTAAATTTTGGTCTGTGTATTTCATAATCTTGAAGATTTCCTAAAAGATGGAGGGCCCAAGTAATCATTCTCCAACAATTGCTGTTATATCTGAAATATGTCATGGCACGATTGGTAACAATATGTTGCAAACTTTTAACCGGAATAAATTAAGGTGACAGCAATGCCAAGGTTCAAGATCTGCCGTCTAATCACTTTTCAAACAAATAAAGGTCATAAAGTGTCATACCCAGTGGTCCCCATTAAGTGAGTGTGTTGGCAGGGTTAGATTGGATACAAACATAACATTTGGCATTAACTGCACAAAAAAGCTGCTCTTAGGATTTGAACCAACATCTCACACTTGTCAACCTGAGCTTTTACCACTTTTTACCACTGACCAAGAAATTGTTAAATAAAAATGGCTTTGGTATGATTAAAAATTGTACTACTTCAATGATCCATATCATGCTTCTGACAACATTGATTGTACTAGAAAGTTTTACAAATTCATATGTATGTATAATTATATATATATATATATATATATATATATATATATCATATGTCATTTGAGGTTTTATTCCTGTAACTTAGAGTGTTAACAGGAAGCTGTAGTGCCTGTACTATGGGTGGTCATGTGCAGACAAGATTCATAATTTTTTTTTTTTTCCTTTTTTCTCCCTAATTTGGTGATTGCAGGATTACACACCTTATTCTTGTCAAAAGATCATCTCATCAACTCCAGGTGTCGGAGATCATCACGGATGCCCTTATCGTCATTTCAGGTTAACTCTTTAGCCAATCCAGTTCCATTTAATGAATGCTTGTATTAAACTGGCATAATGGGCTTCTATGCTTTTAATCTCAATAACCTCACCTTCTCTAGTAAACTGAACAATTAAAGTCAATCTAGCAAAGCATTATCACTCTTTTATGGTGTCACTCAATCCTGTTGTCATTCTATATGATTGGGGGTTGCATTTGAGTTACAAAAGAACTGTCATATCACATTACTCAGCCTAGTCAAATCCTTTTTTAAACTTCCTTTCATTCTTCTTGCTCCTTCTATCAAACTTTATCACTGTGTACAGCTATTGATGGTTTTTTGTTGCTCATGACCAAATAATCTCAGTTACTTTCTCTTTCTTGTCCTCAACCTTTGGTGAGGGTCTTTCAATTTGTTGGGGTGTTTTAACAATTATTATTTTTCTTTCTTATCTTGCCATTTATTTGTCCTAGCATCTTCATTGTTCTACAATAATTTCATGTACATCTATCTTGGATTAAATGCCAATCTTTGCAAGTCTGTTTGGGTTTGGAGTCTATTTGTACTCATTTGGACAGGGTTCGAGGTTTGGTATCTTACTTGGCCAAAAAAAAAAAAAAAAGGATTAAAATAACTTAGTTTCCAATGTCCATTTATATAAACACACAATTTATCAGTGGTTCGCTTACCATGTAAAAATAAAATAAAATCAGTGACTCATAAACATCTTATTAAAGGATAAGTTCAGGTATAAGAATGAGAGGGGGGTCAGAATAAATGCTAATCATGCCCAGGTTTCTGTTTGTCATGCCAAAAAGAATGTTAGTATAGAAAGCAGAGCTACATGGGCTCGAGTGGGGTCAACTAACCCTATGAATTTTGAAAGAAAAATAAGAGGGGTTGATTCAAAATATATTAAAATTGTTGGAGTTTCATATACTTGGCCTTCTGGAATTTTTTTTAAAAAGTGAGCTTTATTCTTTTAAAAATTGAGAAGTGGTTAGCAAATTTCATAAAATATTACCATATTGTTGTAGGCTTATCTAGTAACGCATCAGTTATCTATTCAAAGACCCAGTGTGGCAGTTTAAAAGAAGAAATTTTCAAATATATTTGAAATGACTTAGTAAAAACAATATCAGCAACATATTTGGATGTTCCAGTTACCCTTTTTTTAAAGAAAAGAAAAGAAAAAAAAAAAAAAAAAACAATGTATTTAGATGTTATGACAACATATATATTTGGAAAGTTCTTTTTTAGATGCCATTTATTAAAATTGATATGTCAGTTGTGGAATGATCATTGAAGAAAAATCCTGGTTCCATCCATGTCGGTGGAGGCTATCAGGTAAGACATGATTGCATGTAGACTTAAATAAAAGAGGTCATGCTGCTTGGAGCTGAATTGGGAAAAGAGTTGTACAATTAGCTATGCATTTGATTTATAGGTTATTAGATGTTGATATTTTTCTGAATAGAGTGTTTGTTTTAAGATCATAAGCAATCATAATTTGACATGTTCTGTTGCATGTATGTGCTTGCCTGCATGAATATCATTGTTATGGAGAGTCTGATTCACTTTGGCAATTTGTTTCCTATCTGCTACTGCTTAGTGAAATCCTTGATCTATAGATGATAATTTATATCTATTGTTATTGATGCCATGACTCTGCTTTGGATATATATATATATATATATGTTGATAAGTAATAATTCATTGAAGCGCACATAAGAGGGGAGCACATCCCATATACAAAAAACCCAAAAGGGTCCACTATATTCTTAACCCATCGACAAAATCCACAATATCATCTATAGCTTTACAATTCCATTCATGAATCCAAAAAACAAGGAACTAAATAGAGAATTTTAGAGCCCTAATTGGAGCCTCCTTTCCTTCAAAGGATCTTCTGTTTCTTCCTCTCCACAATAACATTCAGTGAAGGTGCATAGCTTTTTTGAATGTCCTGCTGATTTACTACTACATCTAGGGACGGGACTGATCCTGAATAGAGGTCATTCTTTCTGGTTATGAAATCGCTTAGATTGAAGAGCAAGTCAATGATGCCAAAAGTCAAATGGGCGAGTGAGGCGCCCACCACAAGCAAAGAGGGGTGGCTCTTCATGCGTCTCTGGCTTGCTTCCCACTACACACCCTCTACAAGCCTCAAGTATACATCTTTTGGAGCTCGGCATCATCCAATGCATATCGAAAATAACAAGCAGCATGGCCCATCCGTCCCTCGCCACTGGACAGTGCAGGAGATGATTTGCTGAGTCATCATCCCTCTTACACAAACATCAATTCAGTGAAAGTAATAGTTGACAATGACATTATACTTGGTAATATTAAATTACTTTAAGCTGACTGCTGTCAGATGGTAATTTGGAATTGCTTTATATTAATCCAATGAAAAAAAAAGAACAAAGACGCGTGTTTTGTGTTGTAGCTACATTCCCTGTGCCTACTTCACATGACTGAATTCAGACTAGATGGTGAATCTGAAGTGTTGATTCACATTATAACAGACTCTGTACCACCTCAGCACCCCCGCCCCTCCAAGAAAAAAATTAATAAAACTGTTCTAAACTTTATTAATAGAAATATAGATTGACTTAGAAGAAAATTTTTGGATTGACTTTATACCCTAAAACTACCATATGTACACCATGTAGCATCTGAAACCTGTTGATATCATGACTTGGATCATGCATAGAATGTTCTTTTCAGAATTATTCGTTTACTGTGGATATGTCACTTTTGCTTGACAGTGAGGAGAATTTGAGAGCAGCCCTTGGTAGAATGGGAGTGGTGAATCGTGCACTAGAGGATGTGATCGATAAAGTGCGAAATAGACATTATCAGGTAATTATATAGTAGTTGGATTTATCCTTAGAATTGTTTCCAGGTGCTTTAATTGTTCTTTCTTTGATGTGGGACATTGTGTTTGTGAATAACATATCTGCAGTTGGCGTGTACTTTGACATTTGAAACTGTTCACGGCTCATCTTGTGATGCTGGGATTAATCATCCAAACCAGTACTTCAGTGACAGCCAGAAGATCCTGGAATCGAAGGTAAATAAAGTCATATGGAGAAATCTTAAGATCACTTTAATCATCTGAGCATGAACTTTTGAGCATGAAGTTCTAAAAACGTCCTTAAAGAATACTTTATGAGGTCATGTACATATGTTCGTGTATTGTCTATATCCAAATCATGAACTGCATCTGATGCACCTTAATGGAACCGGGATCCAGCCACATAATGGGTTAAATGATGGAACTCTTCTATACTGGATAGGATGTGTGCCTACTTGTCAGACTGAGCAACTATATATTTGTTGTTGTTTCAGCATTGTCCATGGGATCTACCAGGCTAACACTGGGGATGAGAAATAATGTTAAAACTTTAGACATTTTGCTCTTGACATTCTTAGGATGTTAAGGGAGAATTTTCTAGATGATGAAAGATCACAAAGGACTAGAATCTTAGACTTAATACTGGTTAATATTCGCAATACTTTTTCTCTGTAATTCAGTTGAATAGATGGTGCCCTGTCTCTGCTCTAGGTTTAATGTGACATATTGATTACAGATGACACTACTCTAAAGGTTTTTCACTCTCTGTCTTGAGTTTTAATCCTTGTCCTAGAACCCCTTAAGGGTGCAAGGTAACAAACATTGATGAGCTGGGTTGAGGTCTGATTTCAAATATAACTCCCATTTATAGCCTGAGTTCATCTTTTTGTATGCATGGGTATTAAGGCTGGACTGTGGAGATGGGCAGTTATATCTTATATGCACAAAGGATGATTTTGATGAAAATGGAGGCAGTATTAGGAGAAAGGGAGCAGTAGTAATGAAGAAAGAGTTAAGGAGGATCAGGGAGAATCCAAGGGTCACTGTTGTCCTCCCTCCTTTCTAATTGTATATGATTTTTAACATTGAAATTGGGTTAGGGGTCTAGGAGTATAGGGGTGTATAATATAGATGGTGTTAAGTGAGTATAGAAGATAGCAACCATTGTTATTGGTCTTTAATGACGTGAAGGACCTTCTTGGTTAGTTGTGCAGAGATGAAAACCCAATTCTGCGAATTCCCGTGAAAAACCTTAGGAAAACCCTTCTGGAAGCTTGCTTGCAATAACTAACTTTCGGCCCTCTCAATAAAACTACTTTAGGCATTGAGGTACCCCACTATGCATTGGTTGTAACGGGAAGACCAAAGCATCGTACCTCAGCAATGTGCTTCTGGAAGTTTTGCAGGTTTTGCTTGCGCTTTGTTGCATGTTGGCCAGAGTTCTAGTGCTATGGGTCAAGATTTGCGTAGTACCTCACATTTGAGGGTGAGTTGCGCATAGGGAACAAAGATCTCAACTAGAACTACTGTGGGACCATAAGCCAGTGAAATGAGTGTAGCCTGAGTATGTATCCTCCTTGATGTTTGGTAGGCCTGGAGAGCAAGGGAAGGCTGCTTTGCCTGGAATTGAGTGAAGTCTTCTTGGATTTTATTGAGGATCTTTAGTAGGGTATTTTTAGTGGTTTCTGCATATCAATTCCCTTTGGAAAATTGGGTGTGAACTTGTGATGGGTCATATCATACGAGGAAAAGAGCTGCTATTACTTGTTGGTGAAAGGATAACATTATTTAATAGAGTTACCTTGGCTATAACGAAATTAGATATCTTTTTTTCACAAATGGTGTTGGTGATGGCTGGACCACTTGCTTAAGCAGATGGCTTCAACCCATTTCATGTTATTTCAGTCTCGGTGACTATCCAAACATAACCGTTGCCTATGGACGCGATTGGATCAGTAAGATCAATGTCTGTGTAAGGGACTGAGTATAGAAAGAAAACAGAAGTCAATCGCAGAAGCATGGATGAGGCTGCTATGGAGTTAGGCTTGGAGCCTTGCACATGAATACAATGAGCGTCTGTAATTGGCTAATAATATCCATGGTGAAAAATGTGTTTGTAAAGTTCAGTGTCTCTGATGCTCAGTTGTATAGGATTGTTGATGAACCTCTTATATTTCAGTACTGATGAGACAGTGAAGTGACTGCCCATTAATTCCTCTATGGAAGAGCAGATCTTGATGGAGAAAGAATTGGGGAGTTCGCTTTTTAACAACTGCGGCATCCGCGCTATTAGGCGCAACTATATTCTTTAAGGTAGTCATTATACACTTACCTCCAATCTAAAAGGCGAGGTGCAGGGATTTTTTCGGCATGCGAGACAACGATATTGGAGTGTGCAAGTTTTTTTTTTTTTTTTCCTAGTTGAGTGTGCAAGCTTCCTTTGGCTTCTTTGCCCAATAGTATGTTTGTTGCAGCATTCGAAGTATAAGGGACGCCCTCGAGGTACTAGATCAAGACAATATGTTTGTTGACTTAGAGAAAGGCATAAGTTATCTTAGGAGGTGGAATACATAATGTGATACATATTAGTTGATCAAGGGTCTATTTGCTAGTTAGTGAATAGAGAATCACATTCGGGGAATGAGAGGCGTGGTAGAGTTGAGTGTGCCATAGAGTTTGCCAACGTAAGGCTAGGGATAGCAATTTGTCCGGTTCCAGTTGGTCCCTGTCACTCGTCTCCTAATGGAATGGGTTTTGGGGGAGCTTGCATGGGCATGGGGCAGGGTTGGGGAAGAGGTGCCCGCCCCGCCCCGCCCCGTTTAATAGTATCTTATTTATTTATAAAAAAAACACAAATTACTAAAATATAAATGATACATACATATTATCCTAAATACCAGATTGTGTTCTGTTGGATAATTATTCATCAAATGTAATACATACTATCATGAGATATCAAGTAACATTATAAAAAAGTGTCAGTCTTAAAAAAAAAAATCGAAGGCGATGTGAGGTGGGGGCAGGGATAGGGTGAGAGATAAATGGGGTGGGGTGTGGAGGGGATGGGGGCTTCCCCTGTGTTAGAAGATGTCATATTTGAAAAATATTATTATAGGAACCCTTAAATTACTCCTTGACAGAATATTTGATACGAGAATGTCATAGGAGAGATTCTAGCCTATAATAGAATATGATTGGAGTGATTTATGGTATTGATTTTAGGAATCTTCCATTAATGTATTTTCCATATTTATCACCTCTATTCCTTCACTTATAAATAAAGGTGATCATTGTATACAAAGATTAAGAGAGAATATATTATAAAGTGATGTAGCCCTTTGGGCTCTTTGTGCAGTGGATGTAGGCCCTAGTGGCTAAACCATGTAATATCCTTGTGTTCTTCGTGTTTCATTTCTCTCTTTGCTTCCGTTTTGTGCTTTATAACACCCTGGATGGGTGGGGTATGGATTGGAGCTTCTTCCCTAAATGGGGACGAGGACCAGGACCAGGATGGAGTCCTTGCCAGTCGCCTCCTACATGAGACGTGAGGTGGGGTCTGGAACAAATGTTTAGGCAAGTATAAACCCACAGGATTGGAATTTGAACCTTCGGCTTGATGCTGATGACCTTGGGCATTTCAATATGCAGAAAGTGCATGGTTATGTAACACGACAGTAAATGCATCAAATAGGCATAAAATACATGTATGCTTAAAATGCACCAGTATAGAAGCCTAAGTGCCTGTCCAGATGAGTAACGGCTGAGGTATTTTTGCCTTGGATGGAGTGGACTGAGTTTGTGAGGGTGTGGGCCATTTTCTCAGGTAGAAAAGGTGCTGGTTGGTAGTTCCACTGTATGTTCTAATATGTATCTTTTTTTATACTTTGCAGAAGAATTCCATGGAGTAACACCAAAAGAGCAGTGTTATTTCGCATCATATGGACTGGTAATGTTGCTACCCTCATCCAGTGAGTTTTTGTTTTGTTTTTACCAGCCCCTCAAAACACACATGCACAAGTACTCTCTCTCTCTCTCTCACACACACACACAGACACACAGACACACACACACACACACACACAGACATGCACATACGAAAGCATACACAACTGTTTACAACTTCTCTGAGAGCGTATAGTTGTACTTTCAATTAAAGCTGATAGGAAAACAAATATGACGCTAACTATTGGAGCTGTGGGCTGAAAGAAGCCCACCACATTTATTTTAATGAGATATTACCTGTGAAGTTACTGTTTTGCACTGAAGTTAATAATGGGAAATGGTGAAAACATCAGGTGGCTAAAGTTAATCACTATACATGATCCCTACTTCAGGAGTTTTTATGCTGGTGTTTCCCCGGGTGCTAGTATTATTGGCTATATAATTAGTGCTATTCTTGGTGGGAAGAGGTTTTTTTTTTAAGTTCGTTTGATTTATATGTAAATATTGGCTATGATTTAGATGTGGTTAGACAGCTAGAGGGACATGATGGGAGGTAGTAAATCGCCACACATGATTAGTCAAAAAGAGTGTATTAGGCTTGACAACCAGCTTCTTAATAAACTCTCTGTTACTCTTTCATAATATGAAGCGTGTCTAATAAGTCCACTTTGTTATACATTGTATACGACGATATCGATCTTCTGGAAAAGAAAATGGGAGTTAATCAAAATTCATAGGATGTCAGCTATGCTACATTCAAATTTAAGTTTCTTATTTTTGTCTCCATTAAATCCTGTGTTGGTTATAAAATCAATTCTATACTGTTGACCTTAAACTCTCTCTCCCAAGTTTTTTTAACTCATGATCGCCTCAAATATAATTGGTTTCCCGATAACTTAAAAATCATGGCAGAACCATTTAATTTTCATCACTATCGAATTATTCCTTGTGAATTTGGTAATGAGTGGGTAAGAAATTATTGCTGGAAGATTATGAACTTGTTTTAACTATTTAATTTGTTTTCCTTTCTAGGTGAGTTTATCGGAGCATGTGACCAATTGCCTGCATGTGGTTCTATTTTAATCTATGCATGTGTATCTAGTTTAGTGCGGTCGTAGCAGATAGTATCGCCGCGGAAGAAAGAAAGGCAGGAATATTTTCTGCAATGATGCCTGAGGATGCCTGATTTGTGAGCTTCTAACGTGTAAGATGCAATTTATCCAAGCTGCAACAATTGAAAAATGTAAAGTAGCTTAAAAGATGTATTTTCCTTGAAAAGTTAGAAGTGATTACATTTATCACTGTTGTATCCTATGAACAATCTATATTTAATTACGAAATTAATTTATCATGACAGAAAATGCATCTAAACTATTGTGAAGTTTATTTGTTATTGTGGGGGTGGAGGGAGGTTATTTTCATAGGCTCGCAATTATATGATCTCACATCATTATGTTATTTAATTTGGTTTGGGACCATGCAATCCTTTGTTCTTTTCTGACCCCTCATGTCCTACTTTCTAATCTCTTGCCCTAAATAACCCATAATCTAATTGATCTTGTAGCTCCATTCATGAAAGGTAGACTATAGGGACTGGTTGGGTTGATTAGTAATGGGTTGCCTCGTACAGGAATTAGTAGTGGGTTGAGTACTCGAGTCTTTCGTGGAGGCATAATATATAGGGTCAAGGGCAAAAAATACCTTTATACTATGTTTACAGTGCATATTGTACCCCTCCTGTGCAAAAATATTTCCCTAAATTATGACATTTGTGCAAATAGGTCATATTTATTCAAATTGGACTAAAATGCCCTTAGCAACACATTTTATAATATATATAAAAAAAATTGTGAGATGACTAAAAAGGGTTTGGCCTTTCTTCTTCTTCATCAGCCGTTTGTTATCGTTGCCGGAATCTGTAACTCTCCATTGTCGAAGCTCTATGTTTTCTTTCATACTCCTCAAATTGGGTCTCTGCTAGAGAACTCTACAAAATTAGAGGATTAGTTCCTCAACGCCCTTAACTGGAATTTGGGTTTGGGTGGTGAGGGAGGGCTGAAGCGACGGCTTGACTGGCGAGCTTAGAACGGAGGATTCGGCTGTGATGAGTTGGCGCGGCACCAGCGGGCAAGGAGAAGATGGGCTCGGTTGTGGTGAGGGACGGCTAGTGAGGCGAAGCTCTGTTGTGATGGACGGCTGTGATGAAGGCGGCAGCGAGCAAGAGACGAGAACGGCAAGGAGAGCTCGGCCGGTGGAGGGCTGGACTGAATCGGCGGCCAGCGAGCAACGGGCTGTGATGGTGAACTTGCGGCGGCTGTGACGGTGAACTCGCGACGGTGAACTGCTGTCGACTGTGAAGAGGACTTGGGCACGGTGATGGCGGCGTGCACGATATTGAGCCGTGGTACTTCGCATCCGTGTAATATTTCAAAGTCAAGGCAAGGGGACCAAACCCAGCCACTAGCGTCAGATCCCTCTCCTTGGTCGGCCCTCAACATAAAGAATTGTAAAATATGACGCCGAAGAGGTAGTTTTCTATTGCAGGTGAAGGTGAACCAAGCCCGGTACCGGAGACCAATGCAGAGGTGAGTAAGACCGAAGACAAATCTAACCATTGATTATTATTTTATTTAATAATTTTTCTCATACTTAATTTGTGCCCTTTGTGACCAATCAGAACTTTTTTTGTTACTCCTAAACCGTCGAGGGTGGCGGAGGAGACGCTGCGGCCGGCGGTGCTATCATTTAGTGAGTTCCAGCTGCTATTTTGGTTTGAGGCGTAGAGGGTTGATCCTAATTGGATGTCTGTTGATTCGGTGATGATGATGAAGAAGAAGAGTGAAAGTAAAATTGGGTGTAGTATAGATTGGGGTTTCATTTCTCTCTACTCTCTGTGTCACGGATTCAAGTAATTTAATTCTCTATGTATATTTTTAAACTTGTAATTCTCTATGTGTATCTTTAAACTTGTAATTCCCTATGTATATCTTTCACCACTTGCTGCCATAGCCGAGTGTAAAGATCGATGTACTCGCTTTGCCTGGTGGTTGCCATAGAGTAAGGTTTGGTAGGGGTATTTTTGGAAAAGTAAAAGGGTAAAATGGATATTATATTAATTGAGGAGTGTTTTTGCATAAATTAAAAAGAATAGGGGTATTTTTTGTACACCTTTTTAAATAGGGGGTAAAAGTGCTATGAAATGATATACTTCAGGGGTGTTTCTTGCAATTACACCTAATATATCTAAGGGATAATTTCACTGACACCCCCAGTAGTTTGGCCAAATATCAGTCTAAAACATCTTTCGAAAATAACTCTCACTTAGGTCCATTTTCGCTTTTCCATTACAGCCTCCGTTAAAAACATGGGAAAAGACATGTTTGTCCCTAATTTTTAATCATATTTATTCCAAAGTATCAGATAACCTAATTACTATTATACCCCTATTTAAATTATACAATTAAAATGACTTTTTTCTGGGGAGTCATATATATATATATATATATATATATATATACACACACACGCGCACACACACACACACACACTTAACCGAAAATTGAAGACCACGTTGGAGGTGGTGGCAGTATGGTGATGGTGGTGTGTCACCAGTGGACACACACTCAACTGAAAATTGAAGACCACGTTGGTGGAGGTGGTGGTATGGTGATGGTGGTGTGTCGCCAGTGGAGGTGCTAACTCGAACCTTTGCCACCACCGAGTTTAACTCGGACGATGATGGCGACGACGAATTTCAGATGATGGGCGGCGCAAGGCAGGTGATGGGTGATGGCCGTCGAGGTTGTAATCCGACATCCCGACGGTGATGGGCGACGATGAATTTCAGAATTTCCCCTTTCTCTCTTTAAAAAACCTCTCCCTTCCCGGCGACGCCTTCGATGTCTTCGTCCGCGTCAAGACTGCCCTCGATCTCGCCTACCCTGCCGTCGTCTCCTGTGCTGACATCATCGCCGTCGTTGCCTCGGAGCTCGTCACCATGATGGCTCACCTGCCCCGCCGTCGTTTCCTTCACCTAATGCGCCACCGTCTCCTGCGCCGAGATCCTCGCGCGGTGTTGTGGTGGTGTTGTGCTTGTGTGTGTGTGTGTGTGTGTGTGTGTATATATTATATATATATATATATGAGGAAAATTGGAATCCTCGCCGGTGTTAGTGGTGGTGTTGAGGAAAATTGGAATCCTCGCTGGTGTTGGTGATGGTCGCCGGTGTTGGTGGTGGTGTTGTGCTTGTGTGTAATATATATATGGGGGGGGGGGTAAAAACGTCATTTGAATACTTAAAAAAATAATTTAATTAGTCAAATTAAAGTCAAATGAGGGTAAACATGTCATTAAGTGGGTCAAACTAAAGTCAAAGGGTAAGAATATCTTTTTACATGTAAAAAGTGGTCTGATACACCTATTAACTAACTTTTGGGGTGTGAGTGAAAAACGGAGTAAAAGTTTGTACTGTGAGTGATAATTATTTTCAAAAAATATTTTAGACTGTTATTTGGCCAAACTACTGGAGGTGTCAGTGAAATTATCCCTATATATAATGAGTGTGTGTTTAATTGAACTTTTAAAAATTTAGAGTTAATTAAGTTGCGGAGGGCATTAGCTTCAGTGATTTTCATTTTCATTTTATTTTTTTTCCGAGAATTAATATTCTGGCTTCACTTGTGTACTTTGCACTCGTATAAAATATAAAAATAACACAGTTGCCTCAAAAGTCCATCGCACCCGAAATTATCTTAGAAAGTTGTTGCATACTGAATTTTGAGGGGCTAATTATGTCATTTCATTTATTAAAATTACTACTTCCAAATCTCTAGTTGGCCATGGAAATGACCCGGCTCAAAATCAATAATATCATTTTTGTATTCAACCTCCTACCAATGTCTATTATTTATATTATTGTAAGTTTTAAAAAAATGTCTAATTATGCTTCGTTGGGTAAGGAAGTGAAAAATTAGACGAAAAAGAGAGAAAAATGGATGGATGAAATATTTTTAAAAAATAAATTATATATTTTTTTCTTTTTTGTTATTCGATAAGAAAAGAAGAGAATAATTCATAATAATATATTGTTAAAAGAAAAAAAAAAACAAAAGAAAATTTTAGTTTAAATTTTTTATAAAAGTACACATATCCCTCCTTTCATTCATTCATTCTTTTTTACCTTAGGCCACATGAGCAGATAATATGCTGACATGGACCAATAAGATAATGCCACAACTCAAATAAAAAGTCAGGAAAACATATTAAATCTAACCATGGTTAGATCTTACGCCCCTTCTCATCACCCTTCTCACCACCACATTCCAGCCTCCTACCACCGCTCGAACCATGCCCAAAAATTGAGAGCTTGAAGGAAGATCCAAAAATTGACCTTGGTGGAGGAGGTTCTGATTTTGGGCCTCACGATCGGGTTTGTATTACCAACGGCGACAAATTGTGTTAATCGGCGAGGAAAGAGCAGTACCTCCGGCGCAAGGACTGGATGGCGACGAGATGTGTCGGGCGAGCTCGGAACGGCGGCGATGATTCACGCGGGATTTGAACTTACCGAGGCCGACGTCCAACGATGTGCAGCTTTGAGGACGGCGGCGACACAACTGGGCGGCGATGAGATATGTTTGGCGAGCTCACTTTTCAGATCGTTCTCTGCCGCCGCCGATTTAGAGCACCACCAACCTCGCCTAAGACATCTCTGCCGCCATCGTTTCAGTCCGCCTCATCAGCGCACCATCGAATCCAAAATCAAGTCTCATATTGTTCCAAAATCAAGCGTCAAAACGGCGTCCTCGTCGGCACCCCTAATTTGAATCTATGTCCCAATTTTGCTGCAAAAATTAACTTATATATATATTGGCTGAGAGTGGTGGCGGTCCTCGTGGTGATAGCATAAGTGGTAGCCATGGTCGAGGTGGTGGTGGTGAAAAGTTGAGGCTGTGTGTTAGAGAGGTTTTAGGCAAGGTTGGGGGCGGTGGTAGGACTTAGGAGGCCGGAATGTGGTGAGAAGGGGAGTAAGATTTAACCATGGTTAGATATAATTTTTTTTCTTTACCTTTATTTTACACATGGCATTTTCTTATTGATCCAGTCAGCATCAGCAGGGATTGTTATTTGCTGATACGGCTTAAAAGCATCTCCAATCGCGCGCGCGCGGCTTTTTTTTTTTTTTTTTTTGGTGCAAATTGATGTATCATAATAAATTTTAAAAAAAAAATTGAATTATTTATTTTTATACCTGGTGGTTGTTTTATACTTTTGTGTGAAAATATATCTTCCAATCAATCAGTATCATGCCTAAACTCCACATAATTTTTACAAACTTACTTAATATATGGTTGATTA